AGAAATTGGATGAGATGGAAAAAGTGCATAATGAATGTCAAATACTTGTTAGAAGAATAATTAAGTGTTTGAAATCATTATTATTATTTGGAGGGGGAAGTCCACTCCAGTCGAGTGCACTCCAGATCGCTGTTGTATGAAGTTGCTTGCTTCTTGTGTGAAGAGAGCGTGAGTTAAAGGGTGCTGCTGCAGGATTTGGGTTACCCTTTGAAGTGTCCTTTGGAGGGAAATCTGTTTTTCGACTTGGTAAGAACAGCTAAGCTCCTCTAAGGTTCCAGATTTATGCTCTTGCTCTCTTTGTGTTATGTGCATTGACTTTGCCTTGCCAGGTCATCATTCGTGCGTGTCACATAAAATGTATCCATTCGTGGGAGAATATGTCTCCTTAAGCATTGTTCATGTCTGAATCCTGAAATTGAAATCAGATTCATGTGTTTTTTCCAAGGACAAGAGTTTTGAACCAAGTCTAAAGTTCCAGACTGAACTGTAGTTTTTGTCCAAGTCAAGTCAATGGAGTGGGACAAATTACGGTAAAACACCTTTTGGAAAGCATCTTTTGCAGCGATTTTTTTTTTTTCTTTTTCTTTTCTTGTGTGAGCATATTTAGGTGAGTTGTACGTCTTTGTAAACTAAAGTTTAATACGTTTTATGAAAGATTGTTCCAGTGCACCTATGCAACCATTGTAGAGGTAGGGGGGTGCTAACACAGAAACCGAAAATTCTCAGGCCAGCTGCATGTGTCCAAATTGCAATCTTATCTTTTCTATTTCATCAGAAACGATCTTAAAACAGGGCTTTAAGTGTAAAATACCGCCCTTGTCCTTTAAACCGGTTCATAGCTCTGATTTATTATAACAGGTTTGGAATGAGATTGAGTATATAATTACATAAGTTTACATTTTTGGACCTTTTTTTGGACCGTATCTAAAATAGTAAATTAAACTCGATATCCAATCCTAAAGCAGGCCTGTATTATGAGCTCTTGAGTCTTCTTGTAGCTCAGATAGCAGGGCATGGTGCTAGCAATGCCAAGGTCATGGGTTCGAAATCCAGGAATGCAAAAACTGATCAAATGTAGGCTATACCAAGTCACTTTGGATTAGAGAATCTGCCAAATGCATAAATGTAAATGACCTACTTAAAGCCACGTGTCTGCATAGTGTGTGTGTTTGTGTGTAGATGTACTTTGCACATGTTGTGTTGTGTCTGAACTTTTGGTATGCCCCCTCCTCTCCGTACAGCTTAAGTGTCACAGCACGGCTGGCTGATCATGCTGTTTTTACTCGGGGCACTTGTCTGACACCCTACCCCTCAAAGAAGAGTGCGTGATCATGTATGGGAGGGAGGTTTATTCTATTTACAGTCACAGAACTGAGACCCTTTAATCCTTCTGTAACACACACACACATACAACCCTACACACAAATACAGCATTGAGAGGGAGTTTGGGCAGATTGAGTTGCATGTTGAAAATAGCCATACTGTGACAGAGTCTTTGATAGTACAGTTCTGCATCTGATAGAGATGAACTACAGAGGTCCAGCAAAACAGAGAAACTGAGGTATGAAGTGCAGATGGAGGCTCATTTTAACAGCTGCTTTTGTTTGTGAACTAACACGCAATGTATGCAAAGGTCAAGTGTGAGTGACTGACGGATGAATTAATTCAGCTGCGTCACTTACTTTTGCATGCAGTGTTTCAACTTAAACATTAATCTTATCATGGTTGATCTTTTCAGGGTTTTTCTCATCCCTTTTTTTATGAAAACTCTACATGCGGATTTAGAAATTTCATGTTTATGCATTTTGCAAACACTTTCATCCAACGCAACTTGCATTGCATCCAAGGTGTACATTTTATCAGTTTATGCATTCCCTGAGAATTTAACCCCATGACTTTGACATTGCTAGCACCATATATTAATATTTTTATCTTATTATTTATTTGCTTTATTGGATCCTTTATTTCATGTTATTTTAGATTATTGTATTTCAAAAGACTTTTCTATTCAACTTTTCTTTATCGTTGTAACCAGGTAAAGACCAACAAGGTGGTAAAAAAATGATTGCGAAATGTCAGCGTTTCCATTAACCGATGTAATGCGAGCAAAACCTATTTTTTTCTTCTCGCGATAAGTCATTCCGAAAATCAAAGGCTTGTCGTAGGCTTGTTATGCAAGCATTAATGGTAAGGAAAGCCCCTTAAACTTGGGAGTGGCCACGTATGAGGTGGCAAGGTCTTGATCAGTTGTGGCATTTCTTTGGTTTTATGAATCCAGTAATCCCGTAATTAATTTGTCTTTTATTAGTTTAATAAGTATTGTCTTCTGTCCAAACATGCCTTTCCTTCTTTAAAGAATGATTGACTTTTTGACTTGTAAATGCTGTAAATTTCCATTGCGAAATATTCCGTTTTCGAGTTGCCTAAAAAACCACCTTATTGCGAGCGTAAAAACATTTTTTGCGATATTTGGGAGTTTTTCCTAAATTGACGTATTTCCATTGGCTGTATTTTTAATTCGCAATTTCATTTTGCATAATTTGAAGGGTAATGGAAAGCAGCTAGTGTGTGAAAATAAATAGCTCTATAAGCAGGCTCAGGCTTATTCTTTTTGAATTCTCCCTATGACTATTTGAATGTTGTTAGCATGAGCATTTTTAAGGTTTTCATTGGAGACAGGCAAAAATTCATAACAAAAGGCGAATTATTTCTCTTAAACTGACATCTTTCAAATAAAGAATGGCATGTGCAATTTACTGCCGCCCATCCTTTCTTTGCTCGCTCATGACCAACACCTCTCTCCATCAGAATGGGCTGCGCTGTTACGGCCTCTACAGCCTTGAGTGCCTTCAGTGTTTTTCAAGGACAATGAACGTTTCTGACATCATAAATCAAGCAGAGGGAAAGTACAGGGGCTTTTGTCAATGGTGTTTTGCCTGTTAGTTTTTTGACTGATGGAATGAATCATACAGAATGAAAGAGGAGCAGTTTTCAGAAGTGTTAATCATGTTTTTGACAGATCCAGTTTTTTGAGTGTTTTTGTTTGTTTGGTTTGTCTTTTTTGTGCAGTTGGTCTGTTTATTTCAGCATTGAGTATTAGCAGCAATCTCCGTATTGTGGTTATCAGTGTAATGACATGGGCTGTATTTACTGTGTGTCCATTTATGATTTTAAGGGGTGTGTACAGGCACTTTTTCTTATGAAAACATATAACAATATGTCACATTAAAACTGACTTTATCAGGTCTTTCAATCTTCATTCTTTCATAATGTAGATTACATTTATATATATATATATATATATATATATATATACAGTATATTAAAACATGAAAGTCGGTTATAAAAAAAACAAAAAACAAACAAAACTTTTTTAAAATATGAGAAGTAACCTGACCCCCAGTGGAGTAATTTTCACTACAACCAATTATTTCTAACTATTAATCCAAGTTAGATATTTAGTAATCAACTGATAAAAACTAGGAACTTTTCATCAAAGATTGCTGTGCTTTTACCTAGGAGAAAACTGTCAGTTAAAAACTTAAGATGAAATATGAAATGCGATGTGTGATTATCAGGATATTTTGTTGTCATTTGTGTAAAATTAAGTGTATAAAATATTGAATTATCTGTTTAAAAGATTCTAGCTGGGAAATAAACAAAGACAAAGGAGCCTGCCATTTAATTAACAAAATGTTGGCATCATCACAGAATCCGGTTAAAGACAATATATCTTTTTAAAAGTGTTGTAAATGACATTGTGCTGGCAATTCAATAGGGCGAGAGTGGTTACTTTGTCTGTGTCCAGTGTCCTCTAGCTATATGGCACTCCGCAGAAGTCTAGCAAGTCTGCATGTCTCACATACTCACATCAACACACAGCCTTGGTGTGAAGTGGGAAGTGACGATGCTCCTTTTGGTCTAAATGGGGTCTTTATCAGGCCCCTCTCACTAGTTTGACTTCTAGCAGTGTTCTGGCTAAAGCATGACAACAAGACTATGGAGGCTCTCACATGAGTGTTTCTGTCTCATGGCCAAGAGCGCACACAGTCCCAAGGTCTTTACTAAGTCTGTCATGCTTTTAAGAGCCTCCCAAAAATCTGTCCCTTGCTAAACATCTTCTATATTATAAATGAAATGGCAAAAGGAATTAAAATGCATGCAGACATCACAGTTCCCAATGCAGAGAGACCACACTTCTTATTATAGCCAAGATAGCATCTGTCAGGGTTTTTTTTTTTTTTTTTTTTTTTAGAACATCCCCTTGGATCCTTAGGCAGAGTGTCTTACCCGTCGGCAACATTCATTTACTCAAAACCCATGTGTGACTGATATAATTAAAGTGTGTAATTGAAAATGAACATGTGTAGAGTGAAATGAACAGGATGTATCTGTTATTGTGATTGCTTCTTGCTCAATTGGTGTGTCATTACCTTAGAATGACTGAATAAAATATGCACAAAAACATTGGCTCACATTGAATAATAAACATTTGTGATGACTTTAGATTTTTTTTTCCAAAGTAATTTTGAGTTTCTCTGTGCTTTTCATTCAAAATACTCATGCGAGAGAAATAAATGTCTGGATGAGGCCCGCCAGACACATTTTAGCTTGGAGGAAAAAAGAGGTAGAAACAGAACCACATCATTATTCCACTGTCCCGCTAAATATTTTATTGCCGCCATTCTAGCATAGAACATGTGCACTGCTGGTGCTAGATATGAAAAAATGAGGCTGGGGACACACTCAGCATCCATTTCTTGTTCTTGCATTGTGAGAAAGGAAGAGAGAGAGAGCGAAATCAGATGAGAGAACCTCTGTCTCACGGCACAAAATCAATCTGAAATCTCAACGCTGACCCGTCAGGTCGAGTCTGGCCCCGTTCTGAAGTAATTGACAGAAAAGTCAGGGCCTTGTGTAACTCAAGCTAGCTTTCACTCAGGCCTTTAGAAGATGATATGTGGACATGTTTAAATGATATGTGGTGTTTGTTTGCGTATATTTTTCAGCTGAACTCGCCCATGAACTCTGTCAGCAGCTCAGAGGATATCAAGCCGCCCCTGGGCATCAACGGTGTGATGAAGGTGCCAGCCCAGCCCTCGTGCACCCCCCTCTCCCTCACCAAACACATCTGCGCCATCTGCGGCGACCGCTCCTCAGGTACCAAGACGCATCTGTATGCAAAAGTATATGTGCAAAACTGATAATTTACCCCCAAATGCACATTCAAATGTTTTGCCAGTGTTGCTCTGCAGGGCTGGTTGTGATAGACAAAAAAAAGCTAAAAACCTGTCTAAGCTGGTTTTCCGGTCTTCTATGCCAGTCAGGATGGTCTTTTGGTTGATTTTAGCTTTTGGGCACTTTTCAATTTAATGATCAGCTAAACCAGGCTGGGAGACCAGTTTAAACCAGCTAAAGCAGCACGATGCGACGCAACAAAAGACAATAGAACCCATTATAATCAGTGATGAGGTGTGACCCGACAGTTAACCGATGCCTTATTCTACGTCTGACGTACTTCAAGCACTTGTGATACTTTTCATAGGAAGGACAAATGGATTTGCAGCGGTTGCCTTGTCTCGTCCAGTGCAGACAGCTTCTAGCGGTTGCTGCGCGATGTGACATGTCAACGGTGTAAGAGTCAAAATCGACATCATTTACAACAGGATCTGCATGTTCTTGGGGTTAAATATATATATATATATATATTGTTATGAGAGGCAGCTTATATGTTAACAGCTTTGTGCATCAAAACCCTTCCTTTTATGGTAAAAAATTTACTTGATTTTCAAGTCAATGAATTTGCGACAGCTGAAAGTAACACTGTTTTTGACAATTCGAAGGATATTGAATGTCTCTTGCACGTTTTATAATTTCCCAAAAATCAAACAGTTACGCAAGATTTTAGATCCTTCAAAAACTTAGACTGGCTGTCGGTTGGGATATTAGAATTAAAAACATCGACATAACACTCATGGGCACTGAATGCATTAAATAATGTATATTATAAACTTGTTACGTCATATGTTACTTTTAATTACCAGATGAACAACATAAATGTATCCTTTATTTTACCAGGAAGGTCCCATTGAGATTTTTTTTTTTTTTTTTAAATCAGACTGATTTAGTCTAGCTATGCTGGTTTAAACTTGTATTGTTCAGCAGGGATACAATATTTTTATAGCAGCACTAATACACAGTATTTACATTGTTTTCACTACAAGTGGATTCTTGTAGTTGTCTCAAAATATTAAGATGGGATAGAACACACTTCAGTTGAAAGGTTGAAGGATCAAGTCCCAAAAGTGTGATCTATGAATTATTACCAGTGTAAACCTGAATATAACCCTTAAGGTTTTTTTTTATTTTTTATTTTCACAGGTAAACACTACGGTGTGTACAGCTGCGAGGGATGCAAGGGTTTCTTCAAGAGGACTGTGCGTAAGGACCTGACCTACACTTGTCGAGACAACAAGGACTGTATCATCGACAAACGCCAGCGCAACCGTTGTCAGTACTGCCGCTATCAGAAGTGTTTGGCCATGGGCATGAAGAGAGAAGGTACAGCACATAAAGTTGAGGATAGAAGATTCTTCTTTCTCACCCTAAAAATGTATAGTACTATTCACTCCACCAACTCTCATTAAAATGAGTCCCACGTAAACACCCCTTTAGCATCCTATTCATTCATGTTAGTACAAAAGTACTTGGTTGAAGGAGTCCATCGTTCTTTGCACTGACTGACCTGAGCTTTCCACCATGGGGCGAGTTGTTTTATGCACTCCATGTCCCGTCACTATTAGACTCAATCTCAGCTCTGTGTGACTCTAGAAGAAACATTCATATTACTGCAATCAGCCATTAAATAGTCAGACTGCAGGTCAGCACTTAATCAGTGCTTGCATTATCTCACGCTAAGACATCAGTCAACGAGTCCATGATGCGTATGAGGAGCGGTGACTATCCTCGAGATTCCAGGTAGTGTACTTTGCCACATACTGTGAGAAAACAGGAAATGGTTAATCGATACAAGGCGGTATGTCGTGTTTTTTTTTTTTCTCAGATAGGCTTTTTTGTTGCTAAATATAGAAGACCATCTTGTCTCCCAAATCATCACCTGAGGCAGAGAAAGATGAAAGAGAAGGAGAAGTGAGGATTGGGTTATCACACTGAAGAAAAGAGGGGCATTAGCACTTATTGCACACTTGTCCCCAAGAAAAGGAGAAGCATGCTAATAGAAGATTTTAGCACATAGCTGGTGGAATATTAATCTGAGAAAATATATTTTGCCCCTCAGTCAGAGAGAATCATTTTAGATTTATGAGATGTCAGAATTTTTCAGTGTATTTTTTGGAAATATTTTGTCTTCAAGGTGGAACTAATGAACTATTCTGTAGCTATGTGTGGCACATGTATCCATTCACATGTTCCCATTCACCCCAACACACGATTGTTGTTAATGTGTGCTTTTTGTATGGATACTCCATATACATTTTGTCCACTTTCAAACGCTCATTGACAATCACACACGCATATATATATATATATATATATATATATATATATATATATATAAATATGAAGAGTTCAGATGCAAAAGCCTCTAAATGCCATTTGAAATGTTCTTCTTTAATGATGATTTTTGTCAAACTTGTATATTTAAGTTCAGTAATTTCACTTAAATAACAATTAATAGGTAATTATCATTGCCATTTAAGTGAAATCACTGAACTTAAATATACAAGCTTGATAAAACTGGTCATTCTAGAAGAAAATTTCAAATGGCATTTAGAGGCTTTTGCATCTGAACTCTTCATATATATATATATATATATACTGTGTATATACACACACTATTTAGGATACAGTTCTATAATATATTATACAATTAATGTATATTCATTTATATATCCCGAGTTTAAACATTTATAAAGATGTTTAAAACATCAGTAAGCTTTGCAATTCAGATGGTCTTAAATTATATATTGTAGCTAGATTGCATAGCCAACATACAGTCTACATCTGCCTGTGACTCTCTGTCCCTTGTTTCATGTGAGAGAGAAAATCCTCCCCCTTTAGACAGAGGGAGCACTGCGATCATACGTACATGACGTCTCACTCTCTCACACACACTGTCTATGACCTCAGCGCAACCTTTCATCTCTGTTACTTATATCATCACGGCGTCTTTCAAGGATATGATCATTTGCTTGCGTTCGCCTGTTTTGTATCCCATAAGCTCGTGCCGTACCCCGAGGCACAGGAGAGCTGGGCCACGCTCCCCCCAAAAAGAGCTGAGCGAATCTGCAGAAAAACAGGATTAAATGAATTTATGCTCCTCCTCTCCAGGGGAAATAAAGCTAACGTGATTTCAGCCTCTCTCACCTCTCTTTGACTCCTGAGGAGGTATTTTACCCTTGGGCTGACCTCCAGACAGCACTTTCCGTACAGCAGAATCCCCCTTTTCTGAACCCCTACCACCAGCGCGGTCCCTCTGTGATTCGCCGTTGAGGAAAATAGCGAGGGGTTAGGGAAAGGAGAATGTGAGTGTGCTGTGAATAGGGCCTGGGTTCAGAGACTTTTGGGTGAATTGTGTACGGCACATACACACTCTAACCACAGGGGCTTGGATTGTGGTTAATAGTACTTTGGCCACAGTGAGACTGAGTGACTCTTCAACACTAACCACTTCCTGTTTCTCTGAGCTGATCAAATGTCTGATTTGTTAAAGCCTGTTGGAGGAACCCACAGAGACAAGAAACACACACACACACACACACACACACACACACACATATATATGTATATGTGTTTATATGTTTATATATGTGTGTGTGTATAAATATGCGTGCGTGCGTCTGTGTGTGTGTGATTTTAGTCATTTATTTCACTGGCAGTGTTTCACTTCAGGTTTATACATCTAACACTTGAATAGATTGAAAAATAGAGGGTGTATAAAATATATAATACAAGTTAATATTTACCTGATAATGTTTTAATAATTTGCTTTCACTTGACTAACAATATATAAGCAAATTAGTTCTTTTTCCTTGGGGTCCATATCATATTTGGGGGTCAAAAATGATTAAAACCTGAGATGTAGTTAATTAGAGTACCAGCTTGATGTGAGTGTGTATGCGTGTTGACTTCTTGACTAGACTAACTGTAGTGACCGTGACTAGTATTGTTACATACAGCCGTCCAGGAGGAACGCCAGCGAGCCAAGGAACGCAATGAGAACGAGGTGGAGTCAACCAGCAGCGTGAATGAAGACATGCCCGTGGAGAAGATCCTGGAAGCAGAGCTTGCCGTGGAGCCCAAAACAGAGACTTACATTGAGACCAATGTACCTATACCTTCAGATTCAGTAAGTAACATTGCTTCCTCTTTGTGCACTGGTATAGCCTCAGGTTTTCTATCCAACATTTAGAACGCCCTGTATACTTAAGACCCTTGAGGTACATTGAAGAATCATTTTGCAGGTTGGAGCAATGGTTAGCACTAGGGATTTCCACACCTTTTCCTTTTCACTTTTCTTCTGCCAATAAAGAGTAGCAAAAGCATATCTAATAATCAAATACTTGACTGAACATGGAATGCTCCAGTTCTATGTAAATCTGTGGGGGCAGATTTAGTGTGGGCCTAGTTACAAGAACAACTTGAGACACTGAAGAAACCCCAGAGCTAAGATGTCTTGAACCATATGCTGTGTTGCCTGTACGACGACTCTTCTCTGTCTCTGCTTGTTTTGGTGTAACGCAAGTGATTTAGCTTGTTGACGGACGTGTTTGGACATACGTGACGTCAAAGTGCAGTAAGTGCGCGCCTCCAAAGAAAGACTGTTTTCTCCAATTACTGCAGTGTGAAGCATTGCTTGAAAACTGCCCATTATCAGTTGTGCTCTTTCTCTTTGTTGTAATGCTGTTTTTTCACCTGTCCCCTGTTGAATTACAAATCAATGATAGAGTACACTCTTTGCTTATTAGTTTGTTTTGGTTTGACTTAAAATGACTGATGAAGTTTACAGTCTCATATTGCCTCTTTTTTTTCTAAATATTCTGGGTTTTTACACATAGAATAGTATCATAAATAATCCAGCTGTTGACACTCCAACACAGTAGGTGGCAGTATTGCACCTTGACAGACGAAAGCACTACAGACACTACTACACTACTACTACTACTACTACTACACATTACATGCATTCAAACAAAGCTGACATCAATGTGTCCGTTTTTTGTATTCTATAACAAAAAGTAGGTTATAGACGCCCCAGTTTGCAAGTGCCGATCAACTACTATTTCTGCACGCTTTTTATAGTTATGTTTACAAACTCTCTCTCCCGCCTTTCACCACTCATATTTTGTTATTTCCAATAAAAAACACAAAATAAACAGATAAATATGAATTTTACTTCTTGATTTTGTTGTTTATTGTTGTTTTTTTTTATTCAAAATGTCTATTCACCTTATTTTTAACGTAGCCATTTGTAACTCCGGTGCCATCCTCTTCCAGTTATTTCTAGCTGTACAAAACAGGTTGTTATGCTGTTTGATATTGCAGATTGGTGTTTCTTATCACATTTTAATGTATTGTCATAATTATGTACACTGGTTTGTAGCACATGTAGTTTTAGCGTTTACTGCACTTTTGATATTTACGCATAGCAGAGTCTCACTCATTCACAAGAAAATCGCTTCTACGTTGCAAAACAACGTGGATGGATATTGTTATAATATCGTTTTCATTATTTATTTTGACCACTGTAATCGTGTTGTGATATTGAGAGTGAGAGAGACCTAGCGCTAACCACAATGCCATGAGTCCTTCTTCTTACTGCTCAGTATGTTTATGCATGTGCACTAAGTTGTCTATCACTCCTACTTTTTTCCGCTCAAAGTGTTGAAATGTGCACTAACCGCTAGGCTATGACTCTAACTTCTTTCTTGATAGAGCACGTACGTTAACCACTAGGATACGCATCCAACTTCTTAATCTGTTTTAATGGAGTTTTGGTTGGTAATTCCCTGAGAGAAGCTGAGCAAGATAAAGTTGTTGAATTTACCTGTGTGTTGTGAAGTCTCCCTCCCTCGTCTAGTCACCATGACAAATCAGCACCGCTGAAGTGATCATTGGCTCCACTTTCCAGCATTGTTTGAATAATGAAATACTCTGACAGTCCCTGGGAGCTTTCAGCCTGCCGTCAGCCTCTGAGGAGTTCTTTCGCACAGGAAGAGTGGTAGAACAGGAGGAGGATGGAGAACGAGAGAGAGAGAGAGTTTGGGCGGTTGAGTGCATCTTTTGGGACTGCTCTGTACCGAAGCGAAAATGTTCTGGAAGCTGTTATGTGAGTAAATGGGGGTTATTTTGGGAAGATGAAGATGTGTGGGAACAGAGGACCGACGTTTGGGGAAAGGTAGTGAGACGAGGGAGAACATAAGGCCTGTCATGTGGGAGAAGCTGCCAGGCTTTACATTAGAAAGCACTCAGTCACTGGTTCGCTGTCTTTGCTTGGTTCATTACACTGTATCTCCAGTAGAGGGCTCGTTTTGTGAGTGCTGGGGTGAACCAAGGTTATTGTTGATTTTCAGTATTTTCTTTAATTATTGTGCATAATTATATTTAGCTTTGCGATTAAATAGTTATCATATTTTCACCTTTCAGTTTTTCTAGTTGGTTTGTGATTTATATATAGACCATTTCACAAGATGTAAACAACACTGGTCCAGAAACACTTCCTGTTTCAGTTTGTAACTCTTTTCTTTATTTCACATGTAAAGAAAACATCTTAAAGATGTTTGTTTAACTTTTTGATTCAGTTTTAAATGTTCTGTTGGTTGTATTTTATCCCAGCTTTTATGTAGTGTTAAAAAAACTGAAACAGGAAGTGCTTCTGGACCAGTGTTGTTTACATCTTTTGAAATGGTCTATAGTTTTATGTAATCATTTTATTTTACCAGTTTAATAATAACCATGAGGTATTTTGTGTGTCCCATGCCCTCAATAATGTTTATTTTCTGTGAAGCCAATCTAGTACCTCCTCGTTAAAATTTAAAATGCAAAGATTGGACCCCATCCAGGGATTTCCTGAATATCACCACATTAAGTGTCATTAGTTTTTACCTTCGTTAAGCTGCCAGGCAGAGCTAAAATGCCACAACTCTCAGCTAAACTCATCATGATTGTTTAGAATAGGATTTTAAGATAAATAATAATAATAATGATGCAGTTCAGAGTTGGACAGCAGCAGGGAGACACTTTACTGGAATATGTTCTCTTGGCCGGCTGTCAGAGTTATGGTCTCCCGCTGTCCCTGGAGCTCCCCTCCTGTCTGTGCTCTTTTGGAATCCACTGCCCCGTGCACTAATTAATCAGAGGACCTCGGCCCGGGAGTGCAGCTCATGAATGGGCCACCACTGCTGCTTAATGGTTGGGGTTTGGCCAAGCTGAATGAAGTGTGTTTATCTCATGGTGACCTAGAACAGGAGTTAAACAGGCGTTAGTAACATGCCTCCAGTTAGCCAGGGTAGGGCTCCCTTTAGAGGAGTACACGGTCACGCTTGCTCGTTTTTCACTTCTTTTTTATTTTTTTATTCATTTTCCATTCTGACATTTAGTTCAGACAACATAGAGCATGTACATGCACTGATTCTTCTTGGAAACCTGACAAAAAGTTAGCATAAATGCCTTTAAATATGTTTATCAGGTACAATTAACAACAGGTTTTTGTTGATAACCCTGACGGCTTATTCAATGACTGTTTAAATTTTTATTTGAATTGGGAAATTTAGTACGATGTATTACTTATATAGTTACCGATGTATTACTTGCTTATATATATACACACGTAGACCTATAGATGGATTTAATAACCTGTTATTGGCCAGTAACCAGTATTATATTGATGTATGTGTGCATCTCTAGTCACAGGAAGTGTTTTTGAGACAGATATGTCACGTGAGCTCGCAGACGTCTCACTCGTCTTGCACAGCTGTAAATCCAGACTGCCTTTTTTCCTCTCTTTTGTCACGCAGCAATAATATAGTTTAAGCAGATAATGAAAAATTCAACCGTCTCTCATCTCTCCTCCTCAAGTGATAAAAATTTCATAGTGCGATATGCAAGCGTGATGTTTCTGCTAGAGCCCGGGACCAGGATCCGCTGTGAATAATGCAGGCCGAATGCTTTCCATTCAGCAGGAACAAAAACAGCCGTTGTTTTGTGATGGTCATGAAGAGAATGTTATCAAAGCGTCTCCTCGAATCTTAAAAAGTAGTCATCATTCACGCCCTGGGGCTAGCATTCGCCCAGCGCTGCCGAGTCTCAAGCAAATCATATGGCTGGCTTTATTTACACTATAGAAATCATTAATGGTGGGTTTTACCTCTTCCATCAACCACTTATGTTTTTGTTACTTGGATACGTTTTTATCTATATCAACCCCTCAGGATGGGAGATGAACCCCACTTAGTTTCATATTGCTTAAAAATGGAGTGGTGCATTTTAAGCCTGGCCTATAATGCCATATGATTGTATTTCCACACTTTATAAAGCTGAGGCCATTGAAATAATCATTATTGATGTACAGATTCTTTACATTTATATTTAGTTAATTTTTATTTATTAATTAATGTGGGAGAGACCGTGAAACATATACATGAAGTTTAGCTTTGTTTAAAGTTTAAATAGTTTTTATTTTCTAAAATAATTTATTATATTTACACAAAAAATTGTTAGAAATCACTAAATATTTTTATTATGATTTATTTTTCTTTCAAATAATCAATATATTTGTTAAGCACATTAAAGGTGCAGTAAGAAATTTCTGAGTAACGCTGTTGAAAGTGGATCGGACCGAGCACCACAACACACTTGTAGCCAATCAGCAGTAGGGGGCGTGTCCACTTATGATGGGAGAGGAGAGAGAGTGAGCAAGAGGGAGATTTGAAGAAAGACTGTAGAAAGAGACATGGCTGAGAGACATTACAAAAGAGAAAATGAATATCACTGAAAAGACAAGGGTTATGTTTGTTTGGGTTGATTTTAAATGTCAACATGGTTTCTCAGAAATCGCTTACTGCACCTTTTTCATTTTTAATTATTTTGAGTGAAGAAGAAACAAGGTCAGTGTAAACAGCTAAGATGGCTATTCATCATTCATGAGTATTACCGTGTTTAACAAGAACTCTGAGAGATGTTTTCTTTTGAGGAGCATCTTCAGAGATTCTCTTCACCACTTCGCTTTCGTTTATATTGTTGCTTTCTGAATTAATTACCTGTTTGTTTATGTATGCGGTAAAGAACATGGCAGAAACTGTTGGACCAAGGAGGGTTGTCCCTGATCAGCTACAGAAATATTCATAAGCTGCATCTGTTGTCTGAGAGATGGCTTTGCGTCTGGCCAACAGTTTGCCATCTCCAAGTTCAAGTTTCACTCCAACTTCTGCCTTTGATCTGCTGCTGTTGTCAGTGCAAATTTTAAACAGCCACTTAAGCCACCATAGAGGGGAAACATTCAACTGTTTGACAAGTTCTCCCGGGAGTAGTCATTTCCCAAACTGTGGAGATGTTTCTTGCAACTAATAATGGCCACAAACTGGTCTCATCAAGTATTTGGACATTTTATTAGATACACAATTAACAAAAAAGGCATCTGCAAATACAATGATTTTGGAGTTTTGGTAATCTGTTATCGGTCATACTGCAGACGTGGCCAAACCATCGCAACCGGCGTTGCTTTATCTATTCCTTTATCGTCGGTTGCTGCTCGCATTGCTGACGGATGACTACATTCTGGATACTAGGGCTGTCAAACGATTAATCGCGATTAATCGCATCCAAAATAAAAGTTCGTGTTTACATAATATATGCGGGTGCACTGTGTATATTTATTTTGTATACATATAAACACACACACACATGCATGTATATTTAAGAAAATAAATATTATTTATATATATATATATGAAGAGTTCATATGTAAAAGCCTCTAAGTGCCATTTGAATTTTTCTTCTAAAATGACCATTTTTATCAAGCTTGTATATTTAAGTTCAGTAATTTCACTTAAATGGCAATGAAGATTACCTATTAATTGTCATTTAAGTGAAATTACTGAACTTGAATATACAAGCTTGATAAAAATGGTAATTTTAGAAGAAAATTTCAAATGGCATTTAGAGGCTTTTGCATCTGAACTCTTCATATATATATATATATATATATATATATTTATATATAATATAAAATATATATAAATCTATATACAGTATGTACATGAAAATATTTCTTAAATATATACAAGCATGTGTGTATTTATATATATATATATAAAATATACACAGTGCACCCACATGTATTATGTAAACACAAACTTTAATATATAGAGTATCTGTTGCAGGCATCGCATCTGAAACACTTCAAGCTTGTTCAGGCCTGGTCTGAGAACGGTCAAACATTAATGTAAACCATATGTTATGGGGACAAAATGGCAATATCCATTGGAAAAACAGCTTATAAATCATACAAATTGATGCGTTTTGAAAGGTTCAAATTCCGAAGGTTTTCTGTGATGGATAGGTTTAGGCTTGACGAATAGAATACACTGTTTGTACATATAATAATATTTATGGAAAGTCCCCATGAAACAAGAAAAAACATGCTTGTGTGTCTTTTCAATTTATGGACTGTTAGATGAGGCTGTTTGAGTGACTGCGACTGATATATTGACCATTTCAAAAGCTCTCGACTCATAATTGTGGTGTCATTGTGTCGAACCTATTAATAAACTTCCTGCAATGCACCGAGTGAATCTAGCAGGCTGCCAAAAGTGAGGTCAGGATTTTCCAGGAATGCACACACACCCTCCCACCAATAATTTTGATAAATATTGATATAATTCTTCTCCCCCTCTGTTTGTTTTCTTAAAAAAAAAAACTATTTGTCCTTTCACCCAGTGCAATGTCCTGTTGTTTTCTAATGCCTTTCCTTTTGACACTTGAGTTGAGAAACGGCACTCAATGTCTATTTGTTTTGGTCCTTACAGAAAACCCTCTCCTGCTGCTTTCCTCTCTCTTCTGCGCTCATTCCCTATCTCCCGCACGCCGTTGACTCACTCTTTCATCTTATAAAACAAAGCAGCGTATCTACCCCTCTCTTGGCTTCACACAACGTGAAGCTGGAATCATCTATGCCATTTTTCATATCTCTCATTTGTCCTCTCTCTTTGATGGAGCCGGAGCGTTCCGCATCGAGACGTGCTAATAGACTCAAATCTGCAGGAGGCATTAAAGGCTACTTGCCGTATACATACTCCCTCGTGTGACGTTCTGCACAATGGCAATTTCAAGAACAATGAACGATTTTTTAATTTTATTTTTTTTACCACAACCCTTTGTTTGACAGTTAATTACGTGTCCTTCTCTTGGTCCTTTTGAAAGTTAAGCGGTATTCAGTAGATGTTTAGAAATGGCCAAGTATGTCAAAGTGAATTTAGTTCCAGGGAGCTTCCTGCAGGAAACGCCCGATTAGAAAGAGAGTCATTTTTTAGCACCAGCTCTCGGCAGGTATTTCCTGCGCAGGCCGGGGCAAAAACACTGTTTGTTTTGCCTTCCTGTTCACTTCTGCTCCAAGCGAATTGGTCCCCATGTGTGAGGCTGAGGAGAGCAGAAGTATTCAAGAGGGAGATAAAGTAACCCTGAAATATCTGTGGCTTTAAACAGATAGCTAGCTATAAACATGTCAACAGTTCAAGTAACTTTAACCATAGCCCAGCATGACAGTAGTTGAGCTGAAAGACAAAACTGACAGAAGACGATGGCAGGTTAAGGCAACGCTCACTATAGCGCCCCTTGTGTCAACACTGAGATTACGATGTGCACTTGAATTGCATTCTGATACATTTTAAAACACAACGGTGTGTGAAATCATGAACATTGTATAGATTTAGATGGGTCACATGTATGACACTTGTGTTCTTGTGTCCTACAACAGCCCAATGATCCAGTCACAAACATCTGTCAGGCCGCAGACAAGCAGCTCTTCACTCTAGTGGAATGGGCTAAGAGGATCCCGCATTTTTCTGAGCTCCCGCTGGACGACCAGGTCATTCTTCTAAGAGCAGGTGAATTTAAGCACAAACTGACAGAAGCACACATTAAGAACGGCTTTCTCGGCTGGAAACCGGACCAGTTCATTAAAGGAGTAGTTCACTTTTTAAAAAAAAAACTTTTGGGGTGACAATTTACTCACCCCCATGTTATCCAAGATGTCCACGTCTTTCTTTCTTCAGTGGAAAAGAAATTAAGGTTTTTGATGAAAACATTCCAGGATTTTCTCCATATAATGGACTTCAATGGGAACCAAACGGTTCAAGGTCCAAATGAGAGTTTCAGTGCAGCTTCAAAGGGCTTTAAACAACACCAGATGATGAATCTGAAGGGTCTTATCTAGGACCCTTCGAGTCATGACTCCAAAAAAGATTTGTTAATTTTGATGAACGAGTTTGAACTGGAGAGTCACGAACGCGAGCATTTTTGCTTATAAAACCTATTTTATTTATTTTTTAAATGACCGATCGTTTCGCTAGATAAGATTCATCGTCTGGTGTCGTTTAAAGCCCTTTGAAGCTGCACTGAAACTCTCATTTGGACGTTGAACCGTTTGGTTCCCATTAAAGTCCATTATATGGAGAAAATCTTGGAATGTTTTCATCAAAAACCTTAATTTCTTTTCGACTGAAGAAAGAAAGACGTGGACATCTTGGATGACATGGGGTGAGTAAATTATCAGCAAAAGTTTTTTTTAAAAGTGAACTACTCCTTTAAAATGTAAAATAATGAATTATGAGTGTTGAATTGAATGTTATGCAGATACTACAGATGTGTTTCATAACCTAGTTTGGTGTCTATCTAGATTACATTGTAGCATTCTGCCTGCTAGGTTTTAAATGTGTTTTTAAAGGTCTAAAATTGCAACAACAACAAAAAAAACTCCCTTAAGGCTGTTAAGTTTGTTTGTTTTTAACAGACTCTTTCAAAACCTAGTGTGTTGCTGCCTTAAGCCCCACTCACACCAAGGAAGATAACTAAAATGATAATGATAAAGATACAGTTTTAAAAATCATTCTAAATATAAAAGAATAGCCTAAAGAGTCCACACCACAACTATAACGATAATGGCACAGAGAAATGATATAGTTGGAATTACTTTCAGATTTTATCAGAATTATATTTTCCAGCTGATGAATGACAAAAACATTGGCAGTCAATCAGAATCCATCCTGCTTTAAAGAGCTTGAGCATTTACGTGACTGCAGTGCACACTTAGAATAAACAGATCGATTTCATCCGATGGTGTGAACTGGCCTTAGCATTCATCTATGTGATATGACCAAAAATGCCTTCATTTCTTTCCCAAAATGTGATTTCATTAGATACGCGATATGAAAAGTGATATCTGCCAATGTAATCAAATAATCTCTTTTCTCAGAACTAACTTTTTTTTTTTAGTACTTAAAAGTTCCACTAACATTTGACAATCAGAAAGTCTATCAAAATACATTGTCTTTCATTTTGAACTTATCCATTATTTTATTATTTAAAATGATTTTTGTGTTTGCTACTGCTACTAATCAATGACATCCACCATTAAGTGTCTTGATCACCATTCAAATTACTTAATAAACTATACAGTGTGTCTTAAAACCCAGTGTGCTGCCTACATGGACAACACTGTAGAACTCTGGCTACTTGGACAAGACTCTAGATCAGGGATAGGCCACGTCGATCCCATTAGTGATCCTGAAGACATTGATTAGCTTGCTCGGGTGTGTTTGATTAGGGTTGGAGCTAAACTCTGCAGGACAGCGGCACTCCAGGATTGAGGTTGCTTATCCCTGCTCTAGATGTTGAACATACCTTTAATCCTCAAAAATTCTCTTGTTTTGGTTCATATGAAGTTCATTTATGTGGTGGGGAGAGCAAAACGTGTCATCATTGTTGTGGTGTAAGGCTTGAGAAGCACTAAAAAGTTTCTCTGTTTCTAAGAAGTTGATCAAGTATGAGTTGAACACATAGATGCTCTGTAGCCCCAACTGCTTTGCTTTTAATTTCCTTTATGGCCCGTTCTATTAGCGAGTCATACTTCTCTTCGCAGAACAAGATGAAGGACTTGTTGAGAGGGTCTTCTCTCGTTCTCTCTCTGAGCTCTCAGGTTTTCTATAAATAACCCCTTTAGTTCTGCTGTCTCACGGATGAAAGCATCTCAGTTTTTCCCAAGCTCAACTCTGGGGAAATGAGGGGAGTGGGGTAGTTGCTAGGCAGACTAGTTAAAGGAGCCCTGTCACTCCAATACTTGTTTAATTCACTCTCGTGGTGCGGAATGTTTTATCATGATTTCACCTGTCTGTCTCAGGATGGAATGAGCTCCTCATTGCGTCATTTTCGCATCGTTCGATAACAGTGAAGGACGGGATACTGTTGGCCACGGGATTACACGTGCACCGGAACAGCGCCCACAGTGCCGGAGTAGGAGCCATATTTGACAGGTTCGAATGATACTTCTAATTTTGGTCCTCTGAAAATTTGTGGACGATTTGACCGAACGATCAAAACCTGGTAAGGGTTAAGAATAAATAAAAATGTAGTACAATGTTTTTAGATTTTTTTTTTTTTTTTTTTTTACACATTTGTGTGTGTGTTTTCATTATGAAATATATGTAAAATGTGTAAATACTATATAAAAAAACTTAATTTTTCATTCAATTTCAAAATGTATGTTCATATGTGTGTGTATTTTTATATACTTTGTATGAAGAAATGTATGATAAATTTGAAACTGAATGAAACATTTTATTTTTGGAAATATATTATGAAGATTTAACAATATGGAGCATATACCAACTGCACAAAGACATGATCACACTGGGAATGTTCATGACGAGGACAGAGGAGGAACCTTGACATTTCTGCCAGTGGAGCTTTCTATGGATTTATATCGATATTCATTAAATATGCAGCCGTGCTGGATACAGAGGTCATGCAGAAATGGTTGAGTGCTCAGACAGAAAATGTTAAAGGAAATCCATTTGTGTGTCATTTATGATGAAATCAAAAAATATAGCGGATACACCCAATGTCGCCAAAGGCTTTACGCTGTATCTGCTCCCACACAAACCTGAGCAATGCTGTGCTACCAGCTTTTTTTTTTGACCAGATCTAAACCCAGATAAGGTTTGAAGAGGGCCGTGGTGTTACGGAGTACAAAGTTTAGTTGTCGAGTGTACAACAACGCAGCAGCGCCACTTGTTGACAACATCCATCTATGTTTATGCAAATTTTAGTATAATGCCAAGATGAGCATAAATTCTAAAAATGCACACTCGTGCACTAAATTAAAGGGATACTCCACTTTTTTTTTGGAAAAAGGCTCATTTTACCACTCCCCCAGAGTTAAACAGTTGGGTTTTACCGTTTCTTAATGTATTCAGCCGATTTTTTTGATATTTGGAAGAATATCAGTAACCAGACAGTTTCTGGTCTCATTGACTTCCATAGTATATTTTTTTCCTACTATGGAAGTCAATGAGACCAGAAACTGTCTGGTTATTGATATTCTTCTAAATATCAGAAAATCGTCTGAATGGATTTGAAAACTGTAAAACTCAACTGTTTAACTCTAGGGGAGTGGTAAAATGAGCCTATTATAAAGCCAAAAAAAAAAAAAGTGGAGTATCCCTTTAAGGCGGATAATTTTTTATCTGATAAAAAGACATGCGCATAAACTGCAATGACATTTACTGAATAAATCCCTTAATGCACAACAAAAAAAAAAAAAAACTCATGTGACTTTTGCTCAACAGAGGATGTGATTGGATAACTGGACTATGTGGATCGGTTTCATTGCACATCATCTTTAATGTTGGTTTGATCATTCTGAAATGCCTGAGAAGAAGTCTCTCATCAAATTGATTTGATTTAATTTCCTCCCAGAAGTGTATCACATGATTGCATGTCCAAACACCAGGAATCTGAACGCCAGATAACATTAAAGCGTTTATTGGGTTTTGCCTGCACGCTGTGAAACACAAGTCATTTATGATGTAGGAAAAAAGAGCCACAGTGGATTCCCTGATTTGCAGCATCTTTCATTTTTATTACAAATAAGTTGTGCCAATTTCCTAGGAAGTAACAACACATGGGACAAAAACGTTGATTCATTCGCGAATGTTTTATGGAATATTCCAATTTTTAAGTTCATTTTGCAACTTTGGATGAAAACACAGCAAGTGAAATGCATTGTTCAGCATTCCCAATAAAGCAATGGTAAAAAGGAAGAACTAAAGACAAATATATATAATTACTATTTAATATTAGACTATAAGTGATGCGTTCATTTGTTAATGATTATCTTTTTTTAAAACAATAAATCTAACGTTTATATTTGAAACAGATATTCACTGAAAACATTCCTGCGAAATTTATCTTCAAGGTATTTTTACTGAAAAACGAACCCGAAATACTAATCACGACTGTATTAATGGTAATTGGAGCATTGACGTCCCCTGCAGCTGTGTCACGTGACCATGGTTGAAGACTCCACTCGCCTCTCACCGCCCAGAGACTGCTTTAGCCATTAGAATACACTCGAGTCCTCTGGAAGAATGGATCTCGATGTTAATGCAGCTCGCATTAAGATGCGCGGCGCTGATAATGTTTCTTTATCAGGTCCTCTGCAAGTGACAGCCTTGGCACAAATGAAGTGGATGGTCGACTTAAACACTGGGCTGAAGTTCCCCACCCCTCCGCTCATTGTTCCAGGAGGCCAATTCAATTACAGTGTGTTAAGAGTGGGAACGAGGTTGCATCGCACCAGTGTGTGTTCCGTCACCCGGTCACGCAAAGGCCAAGATCGACAGAGGAGACGTCACCCTCTGGATCAGAGGAAGTCATGCCAATTTAGACATTTTATTGAGGCGATATTTATATTTAAGAGCTGCTGCCCGCCAAAGCAGTAATGGAATAATATCTGCCCGCGTGAGTCTCATTTCTCGGCAGCTGTTTTTAACCTGTGTGTTCTATCTTATATTCAGGGTGCTGACAGAGTTGGTGTCAAAGATGAGAGACATGCAGATGGATAAAACAGAGCTAGGGTGCCTTCGAGCCATCGTCCTTTTCAACCCAGGTGCTACTTTACATTCCCTTTTCTAACACTACAGGTCAAAAAGAGTTGCTTAAAATTGCTATGGAGTGTCCAGCCTGTGATGTGTCCTGACTCCGTTTCCTCTCTTACTGCTCAGTTTCCTCTATCTCCACTATATCTGTCCAATGTTTTTTTCCTTAACAGTGGCCTTTGTATCCCACGGTAAACACAACCCCTCCCTCCCAATCTCTCATTCACTGAGGACAGACCTCTCATCTGTTCCCTTCACTTATAGAGAGGGGAAAAAGAGACAGCTCTTATTTTCCCAATTAGAGTCTCTCAGTTCAGTATTTTGAAGAAATTTTGAGCGGCTGCAAGGGTGTGCTGGTTCAATTCCTACTCCAAAAAGTAACTTTGTTATACATCCTCTACTATTTCAGACTCCAAAGGCCTGTCGAACCCTGGTGAGGTGGAGGCGCTGAGAGAGAAGGTCTACGCATCTTTGGAAGCCTACTGCAAACAGAAGTACCCTGACCAACCTGGAAGGTACAAGAACCACTTCCTGTCCTTCTGCACCACTGCAGTGAACGCCTCATTTTATAACCGTTGCGGACGCACAAAACAGGCCACAAAAAATAACATTGTGCACACACCCGCATAAATAAGCCGTCGAGCGCCATCATAACTATGCCAAACCTATTGGCGGCAGTGTAGGGGTTAAGGATAAAGCCATGCAAGCCAATCAGAATCCTCAGAATCGACAAGAGAGAACCTAAAACGCCGTTTCTCCCAGTTCACACGACAACACATAACCAGCGTTTTCAGAAATCTCCACTTTGGCCGGAGTTTTTAGAAATAATCGTTTTCTGCGATAAAAGCGGGGTTTTCGTGTAAATGAGAGGCCAAACCACAGGGAAATATCTGCGTTTTCCCTTCGTGTAAACGGGGCCTTAATCTACATGAAATCATTACTGAGAAGTTACGTACAAATTGTTTCGTGCAAATAATGCACAACAAGGTCTATCTGTTTCCATTAAAAATATAAATCAATTAAAAATTGAAATTTTCTCTGAAATGTATTTAACACTATTTGATTTATTTATTCAAAAACAAGGCTACTAAAAAAATTATGTTTGTAATAATGTGACGGCACATCCGTATTTCATATTTTACTAACGTCTTGTACCGTTAAACATGGTATCACGTGATGAATAATATGCAGATGAGGATATGCATAGTAAAACTAGGCGTTGTAAGCTCCATATATGGTTATTTCAGGGAGGAGACGCATGTGCGCGCGTTCTTCCACTGACTGGGATTTAGAAAGTGAATTTTGTGCAGGTTTTGCCGTACGAACGGTTTTATAAATCGGAATATTTTTTGCGTACGCCATTTTTGGCTTTCGGGTGCACGTACACTTTTAGTAAGGATCCTATGCACAGTTTTATAAATGAGGCCTCTGGATGCAGAATGACATCACAAGTAGCATATTTATAACAGAAATTATACAAAACTTGTATAAAATACCTTTAATTAATAAAAAGATGATATTGAATTATGATGCAACTTCTTGATTGATTTAAATTTGCAGGCACCAAAGTTTCATAGCGTCATACTTCTCAGGTCTTGTCCGACTTCAAAGGTTACAGGTCGTCAGCCGTGTCAAGGACAGATGTATCCGTTTAATTGTATATTCTATTTACACGTTTGATTATTTGTGATTTTGTGTGCAGGTTTGCTAAGCTGTTGCTACGACTCCCAGCCCTGCGTTCCATTGGACTGAAGTGTTTGGAGCATCTGTTTTTCTTCAAGCTCATAGGAGACACACCCATCGACACCTTCCTCATGGAGATGCTAGAGGCGCCCCACCAAATGACAATGACATAACGCCCTCCTGTCACTGGGGGTAACAAGGGTCCACCACCCCAAAGGCCCTGAAGAAACGGAACACATGACACCATTTGCCAGAGCAGACGGACTTTAAGAACCACCGCTCAACTCAGTGTTTTCAATACACAGTCATGGAGTCCATGGGTCTGTTTTATACTTTGTAAAAAGATATAAAATATATATATATATATATATATTATGCATAAGAAAAAAAAAGATGACAATGGACTTGAAGCCCATAGACAATACTGGACACCGGTGTATCAAACTATCCTTCAATGGATAAATATGAAAAAAACAAAAATGAATATATTTGATGGAGATGCAGTAATTGCAGGAATGTCCTGCGCAGGATCGTGTATGTTGGGATATAATGGGTCCTATGGGAAGGATCCATGGCTGTAATCGGCCTCGTGTGGCTGATGGATGGGCCGACTTTAGCAGTCTTGCATTCGGGATTGAGGCTGGGCTGCCATGTCTGGGCGCATGAAGACTTATGGGAGATGATAATGATGGCAATGCGGGGTAATGATCTGGGTTTCTAACACAAACATTGTGTTTTCAGCCCCTGGTGGGAGTTTTTGCGATTACAATCCTGCAGCAATTGCCATTTTTCTCTCAAGTGGGCTGTTCTTGATAGAATGTTCCTGTAATTACTGTCATTTAAAAAGTGAGGTTGCTCTAAACGAAGGATCCAAGGGAGGAATCACAGGCCATGTTGGTTCTCCCAGCTCACCCCCAGTGTAATCAGATGTGGGTAGTTGACACAATAAGGACGCAACTTCAGGATCAGAAAGAAAGGGATGCCCGAGGTCGCCGCTGTGAGTAGATTTCTAAGTCTAATGAGCCACTTTGAGTTTTGGATTATGATCATTCACACTTTTTCGATATGCACTCGAAACATGAGCTTTTTTTTCAAAATTCAATCTGCCTATTCTCAGAATAAGGTAAACAATGGACGCTTATAGTGGACATCCTGCCACCTAGAAGTCGCCCACATGTCCCAATGTGCGTCTCGTCTGTCTGTATACGAATTCACCTCAAGTGTGAACTTGTTCGACACTTGTACAGTTTATTACAACCAATTCAGTATTGGTATCCAGTTTTTTTTTTTTTTTTAATGATTTTTCAAAACGTGTGCCGTTACCTCTTTTTCAGTCACTTTTATTAAGGTATATCGAATCCTTTGTGTCGCTCATCCTCTCCTGCATCCGCCGTTTGCACCAGCCGTCTCATGCAGTCAAGTCTTGCGAGTGTGTGTTATCATTAGGATGTTTCTAAGCACTTAACCTCATGTTTCAGATGTTGTGTTGTTTTGAGAGAATGGAGTTTTCGGGGCCTTTTTTTTTTTTTTTTTTTTTTTTTTAAGGTTTCATTTGTTTTCGGGGTCTTTAATTTGCCGTCTTCAGCATTTTCTCTCTTTTTTTTCCTGTATGCTGCTGCTGCTAAACTATGCATTTAGCATTTTTCCCCAAAGACTGTCCATAGTGAGTTTGTTTTTCAAATTCTGGCAATGAAAGACCACATGTGAACAAGGTTAGACCGCCAGGACCAAGATTGGGGTCGAGAGATTTTGCATAGACAGGAGGAGTGGAGCAGGACTGGTAGGGAATACTGAGGCAATGGGAGAGCTGAGACTTCCACCTAGTGGTGGAGAGGCAGCACTGCAACATTACTTGAATTTTGTACAAGTATTTAATCAGAGGAAAAAAAAGGCACTTTTACGTGATATTATCAATGTTTGTTTTTGTTTGAGTGCAGTCTTACAAGGGTCTTCAGCAATAGCATGATTTTAGATCACTCGAGAGGGAGTGAAGCCCAACCCACTTCAGTCAGTGCTGTTTTTTAGGATGCCTCTCTACGATTACTTAATCTTGGCTAAGGAATTTTATTGGCTTCACCAGACCTTTTAATGGATAAATATTTTGGATTACCAGTATCTTGAAGCCATACGCAGGTTTGCGAGATCAAGATGAAAAACGTTCTCCTGTAGGAATTGGAGTAATGCAGAAGTGATAACCTTGATAGAATTAATACATGCTTTATAACATAAAGCTATATTTTGTCTATATGTAAATGTGTGTATATTTCTAAATATGAAAGTATATAAATCCATTCTTTAAATGTTTCCAGACAATGTTAGTAAAGAAGCCTATTGTTTTTCTTAAATTGACTAAAACCAGGCCTAATTGCACTGTTATATTCTCAGATACTAGAAATGTTTGTTTTTTTTAATTGCTGAAGCTTTTGTGTTCAGCCTTGAATAACACAAAGAAAGAAAGAAAACAGAAAATTTTAGACTGATACCAGCAGTTCAGAGCCCTAAGAAAGATCATACACCAGCTCCTTGGTAGATGAATACGTTTTTTTTGTTCACGTAAAACCTCAAGCAAATGTCTGGAATGAAATGATTTAAAGAAACCTATTGTTTAGCCACTTTTTTTCCCCGTTTAAATGAGCGAGGATAAACTTTGACCCAATCACAGCTTCAGTCATCACAGAGACAGGACCTTTAAAAAAAATATTATTATTAAAAAATACATTGCAGGGGGGGAAAAATCTATTTTTGTACAAATGTAATTTTATTCCTCGCTTATATATCCTCCCTTCCTTTCCTCTTTCTGTGGGCTGTTGTATACGTTGTATAAATGTTGATTTGAAGTAGGAAAATTCAAATCGGAGCATTTTAAAGTGGAGTATGTAAGGGGTGACGTTAACTCTCGACACCTTCGCTCTTTTCCGCCTTTTGGTTTCCTTCTTTTGCCATCTCAAAGAGAAGGATTGTCCTCTCATATTTTGTCTTATTTTTAAGAAAATGAAAAAAAGTCATCTGTTCTACTTTGTGAGTTGTTCTTTGATGTTTTGTCTTTCAATCAAATTAAACATCTAATTAAAAATGATATGCATTATGTCTTCACTAACCTAGTTGGACCAACATAAGTTGAAAAACATTTTTCATGATTTCCAATAGCCTACAGTAAGGAAGATATACGCACAACCGGCACATCCGGAAACTTAACTGTCAATTTTGTCCCCGCCCGCCCCCTTTTGGGGGAAACTTAACTAGACTCCCCATAGACTTCAATACAAAATAACGGCAAAAACCAATGTCCGTACACAGCCGGCAGGCGTAAATAACTTAAGAAATCACTTATATAAAACATGTCAAGAAATTATATGCCCACCCTGCCTGCCATAGAGCGTGAATGTGAAAGATACAATTTTTTATGCCTGTTATCAACTAGCCCAGGCTACCTGCCATCATCATCATAAATTCATAATATATTCATTAAGGTTTTTTACTTTAAAAAACGAAATACAATCATTCACTGGCTTACCTGGTGACTCGATGAGATACAAGTAAATGTCCGGGTAAGACACCTCTGGCCACTGGGTGGGGTTGTTACACCAATTTGACGCTGGGAGAATAAAGGGACATGTTTTTAAAATTGGCCAAATTAAGTTTGTGTATGTATCTTTCACGCTCTTTGGTAGGCAGGGTGGACATATAATTACTTGACATGTTTTATATAAGTGATTTCTTAAGTTATTTACGCCTGTCGGCTGTGTACGGACGTTGGTTTTTGCCGTTATTTAGTATTGAAGTCTATGGGAAGTCTAGTTTGTTTTCCCCCAAAAATGGCCGTGAACCTATTCAGAGACATTCTATGACGCAGCGCCGGTTGTGCGTATTGCCTCATTCATATGACAACGTTTTAAGTCAGGTTTATGAGCATTTTCGGAATGCATTTTCAGATGCAATGGTCAATAGAAATGACACTTTCAAGAACAACCACTTCATTTCATGAATAACCTCTTTAACACTCCTTCAACTTGAAGGAGACCTAGCACTACCGATACTGTACACTTCTGCTGGTTCACAATCCATTACCTGTGAACTGGATCCAATGGCCAAACCTGCAGATGAAGACGAGCTTGATCTGGGTGATCATGGTGACGCAGCTGAGAAAGAACACCCGTCTGATAGGAAGCTACCATGGTTCGCCACGTAACAGACTCAGAAGGAGAGGAATCCATGGCCTAGCTGGCCATTGAGGTGCCACTAAAAGAACCCTGTGCTTAAATAGGAAATTAGTGTGTCTCCCAAAGAAGTGGAAAAGGAGGAAACGCATACAGCAGGCAACTCGGCCACTTGTGGGCTGATGCATTCTGTCCTAATAGGCTGAAAGTCTAGGCTCTTGCAAACCACCAGTGCAGAGGTCATTTCTGAGGCAAACAAGTCGACCATCTGCCACTTGATTGCCCACACCTGGGAGATGAACTGCCCTTGATCAAGCTAGATGGCCCTGAAACCATGTGAGGATCTTGTAAGTTAGCGGTAAAGGCGCAAGAGACCTGGTGCCACCCTGATGAAAGATTCAGATAAAAGACCATTGACGTGTTGTCAGATAAAAGACCATTGACGGCACCACTAGTAACACTCCGGCTCTCAGAAATGTAACCCGTTTTCAGGCAGGAGAAACATCAGTCATGTGATCGCTATATCTTGCCAAGCTGTTGCTCCACCTCTGAAGAGGCTTTCTTTGACCTCTTCCTAGGCACATTGGGACCTGTAAGTGCACTGGAGAATTGTCCTTACACGGAGGCATTGTAAACACATTACTATCAGCAGTTTGCCTGAAGAACATGTTGTTTTTGAACGGGCTGAACAGTTGATTTGTCAAGACCCAAACAAGCCAAAGCCATCAGCAGAACAGATTAAATGTCATCTGGAGAAGATGGGCTCATACCTGATGAATGTACAGACCCACCGCAGCAGATAGGAGGAAACATTCTGTGGTGTTGCTTGTGTTTTCTCTGTGAAAATTCACTTAGAGTCGTGGGATGAGTTCGATGCCAGAAGATCAAGGAAATAAAGCCAAGTAAGTCTGCAGAGTGACTGACCAGTTCTCACACACCATTTTGCTTTCCCGTAAGGTGGGGGTCAATACATCACATACCTTTTCAAACACTGCACCAATATTGTTTATCAACTCTTCCATTTTCAGTTGTGAATTCAGTGGTAACACTTATGATAACGTTTAGTTTTAAGTCATTTATGAGTTAGTGATGAACTAATCATTTAGAAAACATTCAAAAATGATTAATAAGTAATATGTTAACATCTTAGTTTTAAGTAATTTATAAATGAATAATGAATGATTAACTTATTTACAAAATGACTATACATTCATGAATTATTAAATAAGTGGTATGCTAACAAAATGTGTTGCAAGTTATCTTCAAACAATTGTAAATCAAACAGATCATTAGTTGATAGGTTATGTTATTAGTTGATACATTATTTATCACTCGTATTTGTCAAAGTTGTTTTAGTATCATTATCAATGATAAACAATGGTTTATCATGAACAAATCAGTAAATGACCAGTATTTAATGTATTGTTGTGTTGTTAAGTTGTAAGCTGGTCTGTGTTTAAAAACACAAACATGCAGGTGTGCTAATTAAAGCAGTATTTTTAAGAAGATTAGGCATAATTTAATTGTTTTGAAATGGATAAACATTTATAAATTCCTTACAGTCAGGAGTATCCAGTCTGTTATGTTAAAGGGATAACGTTAGTTCACTTTGAAATACATTTTTGATACGTTTTAGCTTACCTCAAGGGCATCCAAGATGTAGGTGTCTTGGTTTCCACAGTATTTTCAATTTTGACATTTTTCGGTCAAACCGGCAGTGTTGTCTGTCAGTCATATAATGCAGGTATGGGGGTCCACCTCAAAGAGCATGCACAGAGAAGTCAAAATTAAACATGATTTAAAGTCCCTGTAAAGGCAATTTTACAAAAAAGTTCTAAACACATTATAAATGTTACATATGTATTGCTAAAACATATTACAAAGTCTGTGAACTGTGAAGTTCTGAAATGTGGAGTTAAAGGTGCAATGTGTAAAAAGATGAGTATCTATTAACAGAAATGCAATATGACATCCATAACTATGTTTTCAGTGGTGTATAAAGAACTTACTTAATTAACCGTAATGTTTTTATTACCTTAGAATGAGACATTAATAGCTCCATAACCGAGGGAATCCCCTTCTATGAAGGTCGCCATGTTGTGACGTCATATTCCTACCGTAGCCGAACGCGAACAAACAGCGCTACAGAACGCGTTTCATCACTACCTTGAAAGAGAAACAGCGGAAAGCTGGAAGCTAGCCTTACACTCCGTGAGTAGTGACTTTTCCCTTGTGAGTGGTGTAAAATATGTAGTTGGGATTGTTTCATGTAACTTAGTTCTCCCTCGCTGTGTTATGGGTTTGTTATGTTGGGGATAGATGTGCTGTTACGTTCGTGAGACAGCTGATGATTAGTATTCATGTCATTGACCGTAAAACAGTACGTTACAGGAATCACTAACCCGTCAATAGAGACTTTTAGATCACTAAAGTCGATCACGAAGAGTTTTCAAAATCAGAGAAAAAAGCCTATTGTGTGTAGTAAATAGTATCTATGGGATGCGGAGATGACATGATTGTAACAGCGCGCGCACTTCCGACCTTTGGACTCATGCAGACGCGTCCCAGCTCAGCCACAGTAACAGCTCATATTAGCCAGCTAAACTATTACTACCCTGTTAGAAAAAATATATAGCTGCTCCCTCGCTTTATTATGGGTTTGCTACAGTATGTGTGGAGAAATGTGCTGCTGGTTACGTTTGTGAGACAATCAGCTGATTAATATTATTTTATTAAATTATATATTAAACCCTTGATCCTCACCTGACTATGGCTTTGTAAACAGTATCCATGATGTGGTTTATAATGGACTGTGGTACAGAAACAGTGACAATGTTACACACTCTTGGCTTACTCTGGCTATTCTCTGCTGTCTTAGCCGACGAGATGTTTGTCCCGTTTTAGCCACCGTAGCTTCTTCGAAAGGGAGGGGTGAGCAGTGGGCTGAGCCCTTAGTGCAAACCTGGTGCAAACTCGCAACCGAACCACTAGATGTCGCTAAAAATCACACATTGCTCCTTTAAGGCCATTGCACACCGAGTCCGAAATTCGCATCCGAAATTTCCCACGTTAAAAAAAAAATTCGACCTCACGTTAAGTCAGTCACGCTTGCACACCGCCTCCGAAACTTTCGTCCGTCATAAAATTAATTGGATCGGGTTCGATTTTCTGCGTTTTTCGCATCCAGAGCCAGCATTTTGAGAGGTTTTTTGACAATTCAGGGCCGGGGGGAGCTCGTCCTCAAATCATTGCACATATGCGCCGTGCTTTCAGTTTCGGTTTTCAATTCGATCAAGTGTTTATGTTCTCTTCTCTATATTGGATTATGAAATTAATAAACCTCCCCTTTCAATCAGATTGAAATTTAGGATCGAATAAGGTGTGATTGAGCAGCCTATTCGATAACTAATGTATTATTTGGGCACAATATACACAATAACAGCCTATCTGTTCTGTCTGCCCAGCGCTTCCACCGGGCCGCGCGCGGGTGTGTGTGTGTGTGTGTGTGTGTGTGTCCATACCTGGTCCATTTCAGACACACTGCCAGTCTCCGTTCAGAATCGATTGGTTCACGAAAATTGGTGGTCTTGTTTTTAATATGTGGCTCCAGAATCGCTAGCAAAGCATCAAACTGTCCCACTGACATTCTGAGGTAAATTTTGAATCGCTCAGGATAAATTCGCAACTCCTTGATAACTCTCCTTCCTCTCGGCGCAATTTCAGGATTGGATGGACGTAATATTTTCTCTTTCTTCCCTTTTCAATACGAAAAGGAATCCATTTGGTATTTTTGCGTTTTTTCCCGCAAAGGTTTAAGAAATACGCAACGGACTCGGTGTGCAAGGTTTCTATGCGTGACGAATTTTTAAGCTGACGAACATGAAAATACGCATACGAATATTTCGTGCTCAGTGTGCAA